ATAACAACACGCTTCTTTATTTTGAGTGATAGCTAGCAGTTAAAATTAAAGACAATGTACATGATGCTATAACTGTAAGTTATTCAGGTACACAGTTGATATTTCTTGATGTGTGTGAGACTTAATTATAAAACTTTTTTTTATGCTTGTTGTCTCATCTCAAATCCATTACACGTGGCTTTGTCCTTCATTTATGTTTTCAAATCATCCAAAAACCTAAAATGAAATACATTTACCACACTTTTGGTATTGCTGTTTATACACAATTTACTTTTAAAGGATTTTTTTATATGTAATTTTAAAAAATTTCATTTCACTTAAATGAACATTACAAACGGTATTTCAGCTGCCTCATTAAAATGATTAATAATACATTTAATGTAACCACAAAGTTAGTTGACAATTTAATTTCAACAGCTACAGTAAGATATGATAAGACTAAGTTAGAGACTTAGTCATAGTAACTGGCCAAAAATATGCTATTTTGTGACACTATCAGGTTAATTTATTTGTAATTTTGACAATTTATTAGGGGATGGTATGTCAGGCAAACTTTTGTATAAAAATATTTTTATGTTAAGATTGGATTAATTGAAATTACAGTGGTAAGTTGTGTTTATTGCTTGTAACTTGGATTTAGATCTGTTGTGACATTCACATTTTATGATGGCAGGTGGCTGTCATAAACATGCATACATGTAGCTGCACCAGCAGTGGCTATGAAATGTCACAACATTAGGTAGGAGTTTTGATTTTGTTAGATTTTTAGATGATCTCCAAGTAAGTTTATTAGCCAAACCAATATTTTTTTTTCTAAGAAACACTTCTGTAAATTAAACTCCCATTAACTTTAGGTGCTGATGATATATGAATTGAAGTAACATAATCTGTTTGATGCAGCTTGAAATCTTTTAATCTAACATCAGGAAAAATGCTTGAAAACTGCAATTATAATTTTGGTTAAAATATTTTTATGTGGTTATTTTCAGAAATGCTTTACTACTGATTTCACAATAATTATTCTCCTTATAACATCCTTATTGTGTTTAATCCAATCCAGTTTAAGAAAATGTTTGTGGAAAATTTTAAAAAGAAAGGCATACACAGATGCTATTAAAATATCTGAAATGTTATAAAAGTTGGAAAGCTTGGAGATTTTTGGAGTCATTTTGTTTCAACAGACATAAAAACCAGCTAAAGCAAGAGCTAATTTGTATTATCAGTCTAGTAATAAACAGTTTTATTAAACAAAGAAAGAATGTTGGATTATAAACTTCATTAACGTATGTTACAATGTTTTTGAATTTCTTTCCATTTCATCATTTTACTTTAAACAAAATCATTAAGCATAATGGTTTCAGTAAAAGTGTGTAAAATGGCTGAATAAATAATTTATAAATAAAAAAAAAAATTGAAAATTCAACTTTTTATTTTCATGTATAAATTCAAAGTAACTTTTGTAGGGCATTTATTAAAAGTTAAATCTCTAAGCCATTTGCAAGACATCTGGTAAGAAGTTGATATGTGTTTCTTACATTGTATAATTGTTTTATTGTAAACTGTTTGTCTTTTTGGCGAACCATTTGACCAACATTGAACTGGTTTAATTCAACAATAACACTATTCAGTATTGATTTTTTCTGTCTGAAAGAATTCCAGAAATACAATTATTAGGTTATTCTTGAATCAGGTTGTAACTAAATGAAATTGTTGATGTTAATAATATAGTATTCTTTATCTAAAATTTAAAAGTTATCTATATTTGGTTTAAGAAAAATTTCTTCGTAAGGGTTTATAAGGCACGTCTTTACTTGTAACTGTTACTTATTGTAAAAGATTTCTTGCTTAGCTAGAATATTATTAGGTGAAGAGTACATGAAACTAGTATTTCATAATTATATTTTCTCAAGATTTAATCTAAATACACTATGTGAAAAAGATATATTGAGTATTTTGTAGCTGTTGAGTAATTCAAAGTGAACATATTTAAACTAAAGTAGTTGGAACTCTACTATAAAACTTGTCTTTGCCCTGTTAAGCTTTTCAACCTGATTAAAATTGCAATTTGGGACTGATTTAATCAGAAATTTTGAAGGAAATGGATATTTAAAAGTTTTTAAAATAATTTACATTTTATATTTAATGATGCAGTAATATTGTTATTACTTTATGTAATTTTAGATGTGAAGCATCTGAAGCTGAAATATGTTTTTTTATGTGTAAAAAAACTTCAGCTGGTGAGGCAAGGATAATGACTATAAAACATTTTTTGTTCTGTAAAAACCAGTATTAAACTAATGGGATTGCTATACAGTTGCTTTAAAAATTTTTTTATTATTGTGAAACAATAAACATATGTCTTTATGATTAAATGTTAATTAGGTGTACCTGATAACCTTGATTAAGTGAAAAGTTGTGAACTGATTTGACTTGGTAGTGAAGGTTTCAATGCATGTATTTGAAGTTATGTGAGGAACTCTCTCTCTATATTGCTGATGTTATTTATATTTTTTGTTTGTTTGGCTAATTAAATATTTATGAATTAAATCCATAGTAGTATAGATTATTATACAGAAGTATAGGAAAACCTGTAATGTTTAGAAAACTAATAATTTTAAAGTATTTTTATTCCATTTAAAATTGTTTTAAGTAAATTTATTTTTCCTATTCTTCTTTATATGTGTCCTCTTTTTCTGTAATTATTTGATTCTCATACTATTAAGTAAGATTCTAAGAAGTGCATGTATAGTTATGCTCAGAAAAATGTTTTTGGCTCTGAAATTAGTCATAACAGTTAAGAATCTCAAACTTACAATATGCGTTTTTTGTTTTAGGTGTTTTCATTGATGAAAAATAATTGGAAATAGTAATAGGAAGTTTGTTTTGCACCACTGAAAACAGTGAATAACCTTAAGTATTAAAAAACAACAACATAAATTCATTCAGGCATTAACTGTATAAAATGAAATGTGTGGTGAACATCTATCTGCCTTTGTCATCTAGCACATGATTATCACTTGTTGTCTTTTTTAGGCCATGACAAGCTTAGAATGGGCTGTAATGATGTAAGTTAAGTTACTAACATGATTTGATTTTACATTCTGGAAATGTTTTTAATTTATATTTTAATTCAATTAATTCAGAATTAACAGTAACAGTGACATCATAACATCAATAGAAGACTAGACTCATGATCTAGATATTCTGAACAGCCATGATACTCTACAGCAGAAATAAAAATTATACATTGTGAATGCCAAATGTATGTGGGTTTTCCATAGATTTCACTTTAGGTGACCAGATAATCTTGCAAGTACCGTTTACCATGTTTGTTTTGTATGATCAAGCTTATTACATGAAATGTATGTTCAAGCCTCTGTACATAACAAATAATCTCTTTAAGACAATTGAATTTTACATTTATTAAGTTTAGGCCTAGGAGGATTTCAGGTAAGTGAACTATGTGTGCTTTAGTGATTTACACATGTAATGATGTGTATCATGAATCTTTGAAGATATATAAGGGTTGCAGTTATGGTTCCTCACAACAGGTTCAAATGCATGTGTATTACTATTTATTTGTTCATAGTGCTAAAACATGCACTCAACATTAGTCTCTCGGTGCATTTAATTTATGAATTTTTTAAATCTTCTTGTGAATTTTGTAACGTTTTTTCACACTTTGGAAAGATTGTGCTAAGAATGTTTCTCTTTTTGTTGCCAAAATGAGACAAAATATTTGAAGCAATAAATACATCAATAAAGGTATTCGAAACACTTAATAGAATAAAGGTTAAATATGTTTTAGGATATTAAGTTAATCAGAATTAAGTATCAGGTGAAAAAAATAATCCAAAAATTAAGGAAAATGCTAAAAAATATATTGTATAAAAATATATATACATAGTCAAATTACACTCACTCACAAATTCTTGTATTTTCCCAAACTGGTTAACATGCATTTGAAAACCAAATTACTCATTGTTTAACTACTTGAATTCAAACTACAAAAATTTACAACCTTATACATGATTTACAAGGGATTGATAAAGGAAATATTGCAGTTTTGTATTACAACATAACCTGTTAGTCATTTTGAAGGAAGTACACACGCAGAAAATGCATACATAAAAGTGAACTCCTTGTAAAAATTGTTGAATGTATAAGTACAAAAATATATCTGAGTTACCTTTAGGTTCTTTTCTTTTATTCAAAAATATTTTACAAATAAAAGTATGTGATTGCTAAGCAAGGAGTATCAAAATTTTGGATTATTAACTGTTAAGAAGCTATGTTGGGTTTTTGCTATGGATAAAACTTATTGCGACACTAAAAATGTAAAAAAACATACATATTTAATGTAGAGTATGTTTAAATATTGTAATATGAAAAATAAAATAGCTACTACTAATTAATGAATAGTGAGATAGCATTAATTTAGATTGGGGGTTCTCAAACATTTTTTGCTGGACCATTTTTTAAAATGTTGTGGGTTGTGACCCCCCCTCCAACATACAAAGTAAAAGAAACTTACTGAAGATACTCTAAAATATCAGTTATTTCAATATCTTGTGACTCTCTTTTAGGACTGGATCCATAATTTGGAAAAATGCTGGTGTAAGGCATGGGTAGCAAGTGAAAACTCAATGTTTTGTAGACTTTGGTATAGATGTTTTACGCATAAATATGAAGAACCGTTAACATTCTGTTGTGTTTTTGAACTGTGTTTCCATAGGTATTCTGTTTGTCCTAATTTTGTTTTAATGGTAGTTAAATTCAGATGTATTTGGCTAAACTAAGTTTGTTAATGATGCAAAATAGAAGAAATGGTGAAATACTTGGCTGAAGACATTTTTTTATCAGTCTTCAAAAATAAGTGATATTGAGTAAGCATTTCTTTACTGAAAATATTGTGTTAGGTATTAGATCTTGCTGTTATCAAATTTAAACAAATGTAGTTAACGTTGTATCTAATCAAACACTTCTGATGATATGAACAGGTGACAGTGGTTGGTTTCAACTCACTTACTAACCTCAGAAAGATGGCAGCAAAAATCAAGGTCCTGGTTAGCAAGAAAAAGCGTCGGTATCAGGAAGATGGATTTGACCTAGATTTATCTTGTATCCATTTTTTTGGTTTTACAACAAGAAATATTTTTGCAAATAAATATATTTTGTTATGTCAGGCTTATTAGCTTATGGGAAAAAATTAATAGAAGAATGAAAAGGGAGGGAAAGAAATATTAAAAAAGACTGTAAAATGTAAGAAAAACAAATTCTTAGTCATACGCTTTCTAATGTATAACACTCTCAACTAAAAAGAAATGCTAAGCTGAGAAATGATGCAGCATTTTAGTTGGAAATGAAAACTTGTAGTAGTTTGGTGAATTAAAAACAGGTGTCTTTTGCAAATTCTAAATTTCTTATTACTAACTGTTTTGCCATTCAGTGGCATGTCTGCAGACTTATAATGCTAGAACCAGGTTTTGACACATGTGGTTGGCATAGCACAGATAGCCCATTGTGTATCTTTGTGCTCAACTACAAACTAACAAACTTTATGTGTTGCCTTGTTTGCTGCAGTGAGAATCTAAGTGAAAATAGTGAATTAAAAGTAGCTTGTTTACTTGTTATTTTTTTTTTTATTTTGAAACTGCTTTTGCATTTGCTTTTATTTTTATCATTTAAACTTTCAAAGTAATTTTTTCTGATTTTGATGGAAAATTTGTTAGTGAAATAATGTGCAGATAATAGGCCTACTTGTAGTGACAAAGTAATTGCTGAACTTTTTCCTTTGACTTGTGTACGTAATATATTAAAAGAATCTTTCCTATATGTAAATTTTTCACTGCTCTCCCTTGCACGTATCTTGAAATGAAATGTTATTGTGATGTATTTTACTGGTATATTACATTCACTGAGAATGTAATTATGCACACTGGATTTGTTATTGGTTGTCAACCAAACATACCTAGGATTACATCAGGGATGCTTGAATTCATAAATAATGTTAGATATTTTAAATATGGTATTTTATCTTTAAAAGAATGTTGTAATCTATTTACAGGATTAAAGGACTTTTAATCAATATGTTGGTAAGCCCTATTAAAAAAGCTTATTCGATTGATTTTTAACATTTAATACACGATTGCCAGTATATGCAGTACTATTCACAATACTATTTTTCCCCAAAGAAAGCATTTAATAATGGTTCTAGCCTTATTCTTGTGCAACTTCATGAATTTTGTCACATAAGTGCTGTTAATGGAAGATGTTATTTCTTGGTTGCACATTTCAATTTTTGAAAAATATGTGTAGCAGAACTAGGTATATTATGATCGCAAGAGACCCATTGCTAGTTACAGTGTGTCTTCCAACTTGTTATTAATGTATTAATGTTATTTATTAATGTTATGTATTAATGTTATTTATTCCCCACTTAATTGCCCTTAGCAGTATCTTCTGTCATGTGACACTCTTCACCAACATCAGTGTGCCCTCTATCCTGGTACTGTATATAAGCACCTCATTCAAATAATGTTATCACTTTTTCCCGACAAAGTGTATACTAACGGGTTTCTCTGTACTACGACCATTGGAGATACTTTGAACATTCTTGTGTTACCTAGTTGATTTTTGTTTAAAAAAAAAAAGGAAAAGAAAATTGCGTTTGGCAAGCCAATATACAGCATGAATTATTGGATTATTGTTTACAACACGGAGACAAGTCAGGTTTCTCCTATCCCACATCTGATATCTAGCATTGCTCAACAATTGGGGCGAGGGAGTTACTCTTAGTTGAGCCTTTCAGTGACCTTATTTGTAGTGATATGGAGACATATGTTCAGTCCGGTGTTGTTTCTACAGGGGGCTCTCAGGCGGCATTTGAAGGTGATTCTAGATATTCTGGAGAGAGAATTTAGATTTGCTTTTTCCAGTGCCTTTCTTTATTCTCTCGGCTTCTTAAGAAGTCACTGTGGAATCAGCTACCTCTGGCTTCTTTTCTTCAGTTGGTCCATTAAGGGTGTGATGGTTTGGGTTTTTCCCACAGTTGCTTTTGAGCCTGCACCTTTCTCGATGGCTGAAAGGTCTGTGAGCGAATACTTAGTTCTTCCTCCATCCATTGATATTGCATTTCATGCAGGGAGGTTTACTGTTCAATTACGTGAAGGGACAACTATGCCTTGTGTGCCACTGTTGTCAGAACTACATGATGTATCCTACCACTGTCAGATGGACACATATTGAGACTCACAGAGAATACACCTGTTCCTGGAATTTTGTAGTCAACCTGAGTAGATCAAAACTTTCTAGAATTCTTTTAACTCTGTATGGTGCTGAGATATTTATTATCCCTCCAGTTTTGGTTGGAAGACTCTGGATCACTACGTCAATTTGATGATGAGTTGGGACCATTGTTAGCATGTACATAGGTTCGAATGTCAGCTCCTGCATTCATCCCTGCTGTCATTGGCATCTCAACTTTCCTCAGCTCTTACAGAGAGTCATAGTTCAGCACCTATTTGAGAGTTCCAACCCAACGGCATCAGCCCCTCAGTCCATTGATACTCAGAATAGATTCTGTTCACATGTATGAGGTTCTTCTGTTTGGTCATAATGCTGCCTGAGGTAATAGTGACTGTTGTATGCCTTTGGGATCTGTGGGGCCTCAGCTTTGAGAATTTCTAGATGAGTGGAAAACCTTAACCATGGATCCATGGGAATTATAGGTCCTTGAATCAGGATTAGTTTTTCAGTTCACATTTTCACCACTGTTATCCACCCAACCTGTAGTGTTTCTGCCTCCTACAGATACTTGGAGTTAGGAACTGTGTTCTAGGGCTATCAGAGTTTTGTTGGTCTATGGGGCAGTGAAGAGAGTCATGGCAGTTCTCCCAGGGTTTTATTCCAGTTTGTTTGTGGTGCCCAAGAAGACAGGAGATTGGAGTCCAGTCATTCGTATTTCTCATTTGTATCAATTACCAGATCCTCCAAGATTAACAATAGAGTCAGTCCTCACCCAGCATTGGCATTTTTTACTAGGATTGTGAATGTTCAAGTTTGATGTTGCTGATTCCTATCTGCACGTTTCAATAGCAGCGGCGGCCCACCACTATCAGCATTTTTTGCCCAAGGGTCAGGTGCTGCAGTTCAGGACTCTGCCCTTCAGAGTAGCATCAGCACCATATGTGTTCTGTTGAATCATACAAACTTTTTATCATTACCTTCATTCCCTGGGCCTGTGCACACATGATTACATGGATGACTGGTTACTGCTGGCACCATCTCGTCAGTTGGCAGAATGTCACACCTAGATTCTACTTTCAGAAGCAGCCAAAGAAGGCTTCATTAATAAGAGCTGGGAAATCTGTTCTCACTCCAATACAATATATTGTCAGTTTGGGTATCTTGTTCAATGTGCATCTCAGTTGGGATCAGCTGTCTCCCATCCGGCTCCAAGCTGTGAAACAGGCACTCCAGCTCTTACTCACCTCTCATTCTCCCACTACACAGATGGTTCTTTCTTATTTGTGGATGTGGCTATCACTCAAATCCCTCATGCCTTTGGGACGAGTGATCTTTATGCAACTACTGGATCATGCCATGTATGTGTCTCAGTCTTTGCTTAGTCCCACGATTTACAATTATTAACGGAAGTGGCACACATATTGGCAATTGTGTATTGAGGGGAGGTTGAACCCACTTTGACCAGAAGTACCAACCATAACTGATTTTCTGATAAGGGTTTTGCATTTTCTACAATTGCTTTATATAAGACAGCCTTATCAACTACCTTTCGATACTCGAGACAAAATTTATTTGAGTTCCCATTGCTCTCTGGCCTCCTCATGTCGTTCCACACTAGCAACCAGTAACACAATATACTTTATCTAGGTTGCAACAGGCTATGTAGAAATGGGGGTGTTCCTAGAGGCAGGCTAGGTGGTATTACTGTACTAAGCTGGACCAATACTCATGAACTATCATGAGTAAAGCATAAAGGGATCCTGCTCGTCCCTGCCGATCATTAGATTGAATTAATCTGGGTGAGCTTGCTTTTAAAAATTTAGGGAACTAGATTCATCTATTGCACTGTTTCCAGAGCATTGTTCCTTGGGATTCCCCAATGTGCATTACCCCCTTGTTTCTTACTAGTGGAGCTAGGGAGTTCTTATCACACCTGGTTTCTAGTTGCTGGGGTGATGGACAGAGGCTATTACTTTCCTTCTCTTTTCGAGAAGAGGGCGAAGTTTGGGGTCCTCGTACCCAGGTTCCTGGATGTTTTTTCCCAGATGTTGGTAGGATAGGCACGAGCATACGTGGGAGCCTACTTGCAATGCTGGTACATATTTGACACTCTGCTCTCTGGTTGGGTTGACCGTAGCCCTTCTTTTTGATCAGTATCGGTCAATGTCTCTTTGTAATTCCAAATGCAGAGTTATCCCATCCTGGGTACTTGGTTGAGCACAGTTTGTACCATGTCCTTCATATAATAGAAAGGAAAGGGTAGTTGCAAGTAAAAAACCAGGTTGGCTCACAAAGAGTTTGAGAGATAATATTAAAGAAAAGCATAGTAAAATTTAAGAAATTTAAATTGACTGGTATGACAGGAGATTTAGAAGATTATAGAAGATCAAGAAAGTTGGTGAAACAGGAAATTAGGACATGAAAAAGAATGCATGAGAAAAGGTTGGCTGAATGTATAAATAATATTTCCCCAAAGGTTTTGAAGAAGGTTAAAGATTGGATATGTGAGCCACTTACTACTATTTTTTGTTAGTCCTTGAGTACCTGAGGATTGGAAGTTAGCTAATGTAACTCCTCTTTTCAAGGGAGGTGATAAAAATTGTCCCAGTAATTATAGACCCATTAGTTTTACATCAGTTGTGGGAACAATTTAGGAAAGTCTGTTAAAAGATACTTTGCAAAGTCATTTAACCCTTTCGAGACAGGTCATGGGTGAAAGGCCATGTCATCTTGTTTGTTGATTCCCATTAAAAATGTTATTGAATTATTATTTAATGAAATTATGTCAATAAGTTTGATATCACACTGTAGATTATAATTCATATTTTAGTACTATATATTACTCAATTTCTTAATTTAAAAGCAACTATTAA